TTTATTAACTTAATTACAAAAGGTTATTATAAAAAAGAATATAACTCAAAATACATACAAAATTGAAATACACCTTGTAAACATTTTTAAAAAGGGAAAGGTTTCGTGTACAATAACCTTAGTAATCTGAAACAGCTCCCTTAATATTTACCTGAAGAAGGTGGAATAAAGCAAAGATACGAATAAATGCTTAGCTACATAGACATTCAGAAAAACGAAAAATGAACCAAATGAGGAATAAAAGAATGACGATAACACACCTGTGAATGAAAAGAAGAAAAGAAGAAACGGAACCAGGAGAAAAGCCAATATCTTACCCTTGTGCAGTTTTAGGACCAGAAGTGAGCTAGATATAGCTTGGAAAGACATGCGGAATCGAGGGGAGAAGATATGGAAGCCTCAGGAGAGGGAAACTTTGAAGGTGGCGGTAGCGGCGACGCCCGAAGAAAGAGAAGAGACGAGGTGTCGTCGTCCGAATAACGGCCAAGCGGCATCGACCGATCTTTGCTGCTGCTGCTGCTGCTGCTGCTGCTGAGTCGAGCATCGCGCAACCCCATGGAAGACTGTCATTCTCTTTATCTCTCTCCTTTGCCCTCTCGGGTCTACACACGAAGCGTCAACTTGTTTCCTTTCTATTCCACGCATATTGAGTTCAATTGGGCCACTACACTTGAGCCCGCCATTCGACAATCTTTCTCCATTTTCGCTCTTCTGTGCTTCTTGCTACTCTCTGCTTCTCTCGATACTTCTCTCTTCTATGTTCAAAGTCTCTGTCTCTATAGTGTCCGGTATGTGAAAAGTCTTCTCTAGCACACACAATCTTCAATCGCAAATACAATGGTCCTTAGCGTTTGCTCCAATCGTTCCCTATGGATCATGTATGTTCTGTACTCCTCCCATTCATACTGCCTTTCTTTTGTATTTATCTTTTGTTATTCTTATGTTTGTACACTATCAAGCTCTTCGGTCTCTGTTTCTCTTGTCTCTATGTCTATCTCTTTTATAGCGCGCCTGTGCATAATATATGTGTAGTTTGTGGTGGAGTCGATATGATGAGAATGAGAAAGAGAGAGCGAGAGAGAGAAACAGAGAAAACAGGCAAACAGGCAGACAGATAGATAGACAAAGAGAGACAGAGAAATCAAGTAGTAAATGGGAGATGGAGCTTCCAGTCACTTTAGCGCGAGCACTTAAAACCAAGACGAGATAGAGACTGCCTTTAATTTCGAGAGATAAGAGGATCACAGCACGCTACACCTGCACTGTTTGAATATTATACCAGCAAGCAAACGCGCTCGAACAATTGCTGAGATTATTGTTAAAATACGAGACTGGCGTTTCTACGTGGCTAATGCTATATGTATGCCGAAATTGAGTTTCTCATCTCTCTTCACTTCTGTTTCTTTGGATTCCCTCGTACCTCTCATTTTTCCTCGCTGACTCTCTCTTCCCCTCTAATTTTTTCATTAAATTTTCTTTACCATAATTTAAAATAGTCACTTTATTATATTTTTCCATGACTAATGTTGTCTATTTTTATTTTTTTTATCTATTTTTAGCGTCCGAATTTTTCATATAATACATATATAATGTTAATAGATGAAAAGGACATTGTATTGTTTTTATAATTTTTGGGAATGTAATTTTTTTCAAATTAATTTCTCAAATTCTTACTTATTTTGAATTATTGAATTATTGAGTTATAATTTCTAAGAATTTACATGAAATATGTATATAATAGAGTATATAAATTTAATTTTGAAAAAAAATATCTTCATTACAGTTTTCAATAGTTATTAAGTAGAATAAATTTATTTTGAACATTTTTAAAGTAATTTTTTAAGTAATATTATGTTTTAAGTAATTATTTTTCAAATTCATTGAATTATAAATTAATTGCTTGAATCCAACTTGAATATAATTTCTGAACAAATTTATCTAAATATAATACTTAATCATTTTCATTTTTTATTAAAAATCTCATTATTACGTTATTTTAATATAATTATATAAATGTAAGTTTATATTTTTTATATTTTTATTATTTGTCTTTGATGATCATTTATTAAATACTTCAATTAGAGAAATAAAAATTAAAATATTTTTTATTTAATTTGGTAAAATTTAAAATTAAAATTTAAAATAAACTAAAAATTTAAAATTTAAACTTAAAATTTACTAATTTATTGTCTAATAGAATACAAATTATTAATTAAAGTATTATAATAAATTGAATCATTTTTGAAATTTATAATGAATTACTTTAATTTATTTAAAAATAATTCTTACAGTGTATGAGCAATATACTTTAATATAATAAGAAATTAATAACAAATGGACATTATTATAATAAAATTATAATGAAGTATATAATTTCATAAATGTGTTATTTTTATATTTGGATATTTTTATTTATCTATAGTTTCTTTGACTTTAAAATACATTTAAGTTACACATTTTAATTCATTTTTTAAATCTATAACTTGATTATATGATTCGGATTTATTATGGTACAACTGAATATCTAAAATAAAGTAGCTGAATTGTTTTTGTATTGATTAAACTACATTAATTGCGCTGGTGGAACTAACACTAATTTCTATTAACATCGAAGGACAACTTCAGATAATAGTTTAGTTTAAGTATATAAATCTAAAATATTTATATCATAATGCATATAATGTTTGATCCTGACAAAAAATCGAAACAAGCACAATTAAGATTATTAAAAATTAGATAATACTTTTTCTTTTTAACGTTTCAGTTATTCGTATATATACAATATATAGAGTAAATGTTTAATATTAAAAACAGATACATCATTAGTAAATATCCTCGTAAATAGCTTCAGTATCCAAAAGCTTCTTTTTCCTTTTCAGTCACTAAATCGCTTTCTCATTCTTTATTTTTCTATCATTCTCCCTCATTTTTCTTAAATTAGTTATGTTTGCATGGCGCTACAAAATTTATATCGTTTTTGATGTTTTTCTTCTCGTTTTGGCTCGAATCGCAAAGTATACTCGAGTGAAAATACGAGCGTGTACGTACGTCGGGTGTTGTCGTTGCTGCTTTCATCCTCTAATTGAATTCGTGTGTTCATTGGCGGAGGCCGTCGATACACTTCGAAGAAGACACGATGATGGTCACTTTTGCCGTCTTAACTTTCTCGCTCCGTTATCAAATGTATTTTTACGCGTTTGGAGTAAAATCACTGCACACATGAAAATGTTTTGTTTGTAATTAGCTGCTTACGTTGGTGAGCAGGTAAGAAATATGCAGTTTTGTATATGCACGAAACGTTGATCAGTTGTGAAATACATTAATTTACAACTCATTCCGCCTTATGGATTCTTATACAATTAATATTCACTAATTCTTTTGAAGTTATTAAGGACCTGTTCTTTTATAATTCAACCAATACTTTCTTTACATAAAATGTATAAGTCAGAATGATTATTTTCAACATATATTTTTCATGTGAACATATTTTAGATTATTTTATATTCAATTTCATAAATTTAAATGGGAAACCTTTTTCATTCCATACAATAATTTTAATTAAAATGGTAATATAATGATTACTATATGTATAAATAGTGGTATTAACTCTAGTTAAAATATATATATAAATGAAAGTTATTATCAAAATAATAATGATCTCAAAAAATAAAATTTTTTTAAAAATAAAATGAGATATATTAACAATTTTATTATAATTTTACGTAGCAGAATACAAGTACTATGAATTTATTCACTTAATAATCTTTAATATTAAAACGTAGTCAAACACTATATATTTGCGATAAATTCTAAATAGCTTATTCCTTTAATTTTTATAAATAAAAGAAAATAATTATATATAAAATATTAAAAATTTTGTTTGTCAATGGGTAATTCAATTTGATTATATAAACTGTAAAATTTATAAAATTTAATATACTAACTAAAAAAAATATAAGAAGATATAAGAAAAATATAAGAAAAATATAAAAATATAAAAATAAAAATATTTAAAAAAAAATATTAAAAAAAAAATATATAAGAAAAATATATGAATCTGTACATGTGTGTGGATATGTGTGGTGAGAGAGAGAGAGAGAGAGAGAGTAAAAGGGGAAAGTACGAAGATAACGATAAAAAGGCTGCGAAAAGAAAAGTTATTATAATGGAAAAAATAGAAATAATTTGTTGATATTTTCTGATATTTGATATTGACACGAAATTTTAATTCGGAATTTACTTCATTACGAAATAAATGTGACCTATTTAAAAAGTATAGTTTAAAAGCTTATTATACACTTATTCTATCTTATATATGCTTCTTTATTTGCAAAATAATTTCAAATATAAAATATATGCCAATAATAAATAATAAGTTCATAATTAATCTTTTTATTTCATAAAAGAAATTACAATTGATAATATAATCTCTTTATTATTCAATACAGAAATTTGTAGCAATTAAATTAACAATATAGATGTCTGTAAAAATTGCTTAACATTTGTTTAATCTATGATTAAAATTTATTGTTTAAATATTTGAATACTCTTATTTTTACATATATTTCAATTAGTATTATATTATATTTCTCTATTTTAAAATACAAATATTACTATAATAATTTATGTTTATTTTTCTGTTTTTATTCTTGCTTAAAAGCTTATTTTTATTCTTGTTATATAAAAATAAACATAAAAATGATAATGTATTAAATTTGAAATAGAATTTATTCATAAAATAATGTAAATTTAATTGAAGGTAAATGACTTTTTATTAACATATAATTTAAATTTTTTTATATTTCACATTATATTTAAAAGAAGTTGCATTTTAAAATAGAGACTGTTCATTTATGCAAAAATATCTTGTAAAAGAAATTTTATTTGAAATTTGTATATTTTTATATTTTTTCTAATTTCTATCTATTATCACAATATTGAAGAAATTATTAATTAATATTTTAAAGATTAATTATTTTTTATTTTATTAGCAACTCTAGATGGAAAACTACGAAGATGACGAAGACACACACTTTTGTAACAAATGTCACTCGAACGTCAATGGTTTAGAAAACTACGTGCAACATCGACAATCTGGATGTCAAACTATTAAGAATAATAAGAATAGAGTTTATCACTCTCCAGTATCAACTACTAGTATATCATATCCAGAGATTCTCAATGCTGATGCATTTTTCAGCTCCCTTGAATTACAAAGTAGTGCCAAATGTCATCCACGTAGAGCTAATGATCTATTATATGGTCGTATTAAAAAATCTAGTCGTTCTGAGGAACATAAAAAGAAAAAACGAAAAAATAAAAATCTAGAAGATAAAGATGAGAGTAAAGAAAAACTAGTAAACTTACTAACAGTTGTTACTGACCTAGATGATCTTGGCATACCCTCGCTAGTGGGCTTTCCCGAGATTGTTGCAAGTACATCTTCCTCTGTAAGCAAGCCCAGTATTTCTAATGTCTTGATATCCAGCAAAGAAGATACCCGTAGCAGTGCTAATTCAAAAACTGAATATCCAGTCTATTTTAATAAACATGAAACAATTATTACCAATCAGAAACGTAACCAAGTTGAGACTAATAAAATAAACCAACATCAACATCATTCAGTCTGGTTAGAGGATACGATACTTACTGATCTCGTAGCTAACAATGAAAATGAAAACAAGGATGATTTAGATGAGGGACATATGAACAGATATGCCGAATATGACTACCATCAGGATGATGGTTTAGATGATGATAGTTTAAATATGGATATGGTTGAAGAGGATTTGTACATGGATTCTGAAGATACTGAAAATCATGATACTCACTATCCGCCACAGAATCATACTGGAGGAAAATGGAAACCAATGGGTATTGTGCATGAGGAAATAATAAACGAAGATGATGCAGAAATAGATGAGCGTGAACATTATGATCGAGAACATCCACCTCCAAACCATACAGGCGGAAAGTGGAAACCAAATGAAATTAATCCTCAGGTCTTTACTTATTCTTTTATACTTGTTTATTTACATCTATAATAAATGTATATTATAATTACTCACACATAATTCGTTAATTTAATTGATTTATGTATTGAAATTTATTTTTTACTATTGCCTATAAATATAATTCTTGTTAATCTTGTTGTATTAATAACATGTGTATATAAAATATAAATTCATTTTTAAATAAAGTAAAAATTTTATTCTGTTCATACATAATTACTAAAAAGTAAAAAGTACCAAATATTTATTATTCAATAATCTAATAAAATCATTTATTAAAAAACATAATCGATTAGGAAAAATAAAATATTATTTTTTTTATATAATCTTTATAACTTGTTTATAAAAATCATAGAATTTGATATTAGTTAAAAATTTATATATTAAAAATTTTATTTTACTTAATATTATGTAAGCCCTTTATATGAAATAATAGTTTTTATAAAAATTTGTTTCATACCTGTTATTTACTTTAATATTATTTTTCTTTATAAATAAATATTAATGAACCTGAATTTTAAAACAATTATTTCAAATTCTTAATATATAAGAATATGGTTTCAGCTAGTTTGAAAAAAATTTGGAGATATCATTTCAATTTAAAGTTAATATGTAAAATTTTTTAATCAATTATATTTGTAACTGACACACATATTTTAAAAAATTTCAGTCTATATTCAAATATTGATATTGGAATAAAAGCAATAAAAAATAAAATTTTCATGAAAATAACAAAATTATTTGTGGTGACCCAGAAATGTAACGAATTCGATAGTAAAAACGTTCTGAGTCTACCGCCGCCAAATCACACGCGCGGCAAATGGGTTCCAGGAGCACGAACCGATATCAACAAGGGATATTGGTGCAGTCCATGTGGTCGGAAGTTAGCGTCCCAGTTAGTTTACAATCGCCACCTGCTGTCTGGTCTGCACGCCAGAAGAAGCATTCAAGAAATCAATGGTGCCGTACAAATGCCGAGAGGCTCCACACCATATATGCATCGGAAGAATCTCAGTCAACGTCAAAAAATCGTAATTTCAGTAAATGATACCTTTGTATTTCTTAATATAAAACTGAATTTATCTAAATTTATATAAAATGTTAAAAATTTATAAATTAAAATATTCTATAATAATAAAGATATAAATAAATAAAATAAAATAATATTTATAATTATAACATGAATCAAAATAAAAAATTTTTTTCCGTGCATATTAATAAATAATTATTTTGAATACTACATATTAAACATTGTTTAATATTGAAAATAAATATTTTATATTAATGAATCCTGCAAGCATTATGAAACAGATTTTATAGCTATTTTATATCATATTTTTTAACATTTAGTCAAATGCACTCCAAATCTCTTAATCTCATAAATTTGATATGTCGAAACATGTATAAAATTAAAAATACGTCTGTTTTATAGGTTTATTTATTTATTATTAAGCAATTTTCTTTCTTAATTAATATTTTTAATAGTCATAATATTCTTCTCAATATTTTTGTTATTGATAAACAAAAATCTTTTTTGCGTTTGCTTTAAAAATTCAAATCCAACAAAATGAAAAACGAGTATAAACTCCAACATTATACGTAGCATAAAATCAAATAATTGAGTTGTTTGGAAACTGAAACGGATAGAAAAAGTAAAAATGTTTAAAGTTTCAGTTAATTTTCAAATGATTATATAATAATGTAATATAAAATAATTTTTTAGATTATAATATATTATATTGTATAAAAAATCATATGATAAAGAATTAGATTTTATTGATTTATTTTTTGATTGACTACAGTTAAACTAAGTATTTTAGTAATTATGAACTGAAATTAAATTAGCTGGGTAATATTTATACATGTAGATGTTTAAAAAGAATTTTCCATAAAAAAATTTATTTTAAATATTGAATATTTGGATTTTTACATAGCTATGATTATTATTTTCTAATCTTTTAAAATATTATAATTTATATAATGCAATAAAATAAATTACTTAATTATTAAAATTAATTTCCCCATATTTTATCTCGTACAATAAAAAAAAATAACTAATTTATTTATAATTTATGCATTGCCTCTGAATATATAATGACTTATAAATACAAATTCATCTCGAATTTTTAAAATATTACTAAAATAATAGAATTAGAACATAGTGTAATTTTATGAATTCTAAAATAAGAAAATTATTTTGATACGAAGCTTCTTATTACGTGCATTAAATAAAATTGATACTCAAAATTTAATTGATATTAATGTTTAAATTTGCATTATTTATTATATAATATAAGAGAACATAGATAATTATAAATATTAGGCGTTGAGAAATTGTATAAAAAAGGAAGATTTCATTAAAAGCAATAACATTAATATAAAAATAATATCTCATATGTAAAATAGTAAATAAGTTTAAAGAATGATTAATATAAATATTATAGTAAATATTTCTATTTCCAACAATCAAGAAGAGACATTGTATATGATTTGTATATTGTAAGGGACGCTAATCTAACCAAATTTAAAAGATGATATCTTAATTGTCTATTTATTATATTTAAAAGAATAATTTTGATTGAAAAAAAAACTTGAAGAACATAGAAACGGGAGTTGACAGTTGTTTTTCAATTATATCTTAACGATTAATATCCATTCAAGCAATCACAGGACTTAATCAAATAAAGTTACCCTTAACCGAAATTGTCTGTTCACAGAAACAAAGCAGCAATGTTAGCGGCGTGGCAAGCGAGTCAATGCCGGTGATGGGGGCGGCGTCCCACCATCAGATACAAAAGAAGAGGCTGCGAAGTCGCGAGAAGGAGGTCCTTTCGTGCGAAATGTGCCATGCTCGTGTGCGCAAGGCGCAGATGGGCAAGCACCTCCTCTCGTATTATCATTGTCGCGTCGCAGGTGCGAATCCGAGCAGCATGAAAGCACGCCGCTTCCTTTTGGAGAACATGGCGAACATCGTGCGCCAGTGTCCTTTTCAATGTGCCTCGTGTCGTTTTTATTGCAACACGGAGGATACTTTCTTAAGGCATTGGAGATCTGATGCACACAAAGGCACAATTTCAAAGGTAAGTTTTTCTATCCCTTACTATTCTTTCTTCGTTTTCCATTATTTCACTTCTTCTTTCTCCTTTTTACCAATTCATTCATTTCTTATACTAAATTTGGTTTTTATATTTGTATATGAAATATGAAATCAATTTTGCTTTTTTCTTATATTGTTATCTATATGCATTAATAATTTACACGATTTAATACAATGTTCTTTCCGTAATACAATTATATTTCATTTGTTCAAAAATTGTATACAAATTTTTGTTTTAAAAAATAATTTAAGAAATAAAAATTGATTATAATTTTTCCTATCAAACATAATTTAATCGCTTATAATCGAAAAAACTAATAATGCGAATAGAAAAAATCTTTAATTAATCATAATAATGTACATCGTTAATTTCTTTGATATTTTAATAAATAATTGCTTTTATATATAAACATAAAATAACTTTTTCTGAATTTCAGCACTTTATCAATAAAGTAATGCCTGTTATAACAATTCAATATTAATTTTGTTGCTTCGAATAATCTTTCTTTAAATAATCATTTGTATCAAGGATTATCAGAAATAATACTATTTATCATTATTTATGATTAAAACTTTTATACGATATTATTCATATTGAATGGTTTACAATAATGTATTCATATTTATTATTTACTGTTATGTATTTAATAGATTGCGGGAAGTTTCATATGTGTATTATGCAACTTCTGGTGCGATGATAATAAAAGCGTAGAGTCGCATATAACCAAGCAAGGGCATCAAAATGTTGTTTCAATGATAAATGGATCGGTACCAATAATCATACGTTGTCAGAGGATTCTTATGTGCTCAACCTGTTGTCGTCGATTTAGGTATTATTTCTCTACTTAATTTAATAATATGTCACATTTTTAGAATTTATCTAAATAGCAAATACTTTAACTTATTTCTTTGTAATTGTGTACATTATTAATTAGTCACTTAAACTAATACTTACAATCATTATAATAATTCTCTCTCTCTCTCTCTCTCTCTCTCTCTCTCTCTCTCTCTCTCTCTGTGTTCTTCAATAGACCTGTGAAGTTACTATAAAAAGAATATTATTATCGTTCAAAGTATGTACAATTTAAAATATTTATGAATGTAGCTTATATGCTGTAAAATATTTTTTTTAATAAACAAAAATATTCAATCTTGTTGAAATTTAAAAATTGAAAATATTAAATAATTTTGAATTTAATAAATAATAAATAAAACTGAAAATGAAAATATTTTACACTATATCTACGTTTACTATTCAACAATTTAAAAAAGACGTGATATCAATTCGTAAAAGGATATATTTTATTCTCTGTGTAAATCTTAATATACTAAATTAATTAATTGACATTGCTAAAATGAACAAAGATAACGAGGCATAACTAAGAAGTAGTCAGATGAATCGTAACCTAGATATTTCATTACCGAGGTACAACATACAGTTACGGTTTCACGCCAAGGACACTGGGCATGAGGTCGATCATTCCGCTTCAGATGAGTATCAGTGCAGATTAACTTGCAATGTCTGCGGGCAAGTCGTGCGTTCCTTGATCTCATTGCAGCGTCACCAACTTGCCTTACACAAGCCAGCAAAGGAAGGGGTTAATATTGCATCTCCTTACTTTTGTTCCTTCTGTTTACTCAAGTTCAGAACTGCACGTCAAGCAGTACTTCATCGGCGAACTTCTAGTCACAAGGAGACAGTTAAACGAAGAAAAGCAGGAGATGTGCCGAAGAGTTTTATACAATGCCCACACTGCAAGGAGACACATTCCGAGCTTGTCGAGCACAAATATCATTTGCTCTCTAAGCATCCCGAATTATGCCACAGGTTCGAATACTTGAATTATTTTTTATCTTTACTATTTAATTTTAATACAAAAAAGATCCTGATATTTATTTCAATGAGCGTTTATGACAAAGTAGTAACATCCAATTTTTATGTGGTATAATATAATGATTTTACTATATAATACTTGGATTTACTTCTATCTTAATATTTATAATAAGTTTAAAAATTAAATTAAAGTAAAAAATATGAATATAAAATACACTAAATAGCAGAAACATTAACTTTAATCATATATTTAATTTTTAAAATATTATTTTATATAATAAAGTATATATATCTGAGACTTTAATAACATAACTAAATATAGATTTTATTTTATTAGTACTTTATAAGATTTTTAAATAAATATATTTTCAAAACATTAAACTAATTATTTATTATTAAATGTAAAATTTAATATATTTTTATATATTTTATTATATATAAAAATATATTTTATATATTTTATTTTTATAATTTTTAAATAGAAATCATAACAATTTTTCAAATAAATTTTTCTAGTCTAATTACTCTTACTAATCTTACTATTATCACTAATGTACATTATATGAATGTATCTCAGGGAAAAATGTATATTATTACTCATAAAATGGAAATATACATCACACATTATTGCAAATATAGATTATCATAAGTATAAGAAACATGCAATTTCAGTTGAATTGTGTTAACATATCTCTTAATTATAATGTTTTTATAAATTGAAATATATATATTATTATATAAATATATGAAAGAAATTAGTAATAAAATAAGTACCATGTGCAGAACTATATTTTATTGAATGCTTTTACAACATGTTCATTGATTTTGTTAAAATTCACAATAAAATCTTGATCCTTAGATAATTGAAGTTATAAATAATTCGTACATGTTTTCTAACAGTCAATAATTAAACTTAGTAAAACTTTTAAAAATGTTATATATATAGTATGACAGTCAATACATGATATTTTAAATGAGTTCTAATATTAAATATTAATTAATAAAAATATAAATTAATACAAATAATTATAAGAAATATATAAAAAAATTCATGTACAAAATTAATTTTAGTGTAAACATATAATTTAATTTTGAATTAAAATTCAATATAATTTTAATACTTACATACAGATGTCTGAAGTGTGGAAAGCACTTTGCCCTTTCGCAAGATGTGACGAAGCATACACGAGAAAATCAATGTTCTCGTGACGAAAAAAGTCTTTATAAAAATTCAAATACTAATAATTGGAAATGTCCAATATGTCAATTCACGAGCGATTCTGAAGCTGAGTATTTGTTCCATAAAGCGCTTCACGAAGGATTAGTAAAGTGCGACTCCCTCGTTGTAGAATACGGTTCCACTTCAACGCACAAGTTTCGCTGTCCACTCTGTCAAAATGTTTTTAGCAAATCGACACTTCGCGATCATATAAGAAGACACACAGGTGAACGACCTTTTCGTTGTGATAAATGCATTGCCACTTTCATGCGAAGATCAGCTGCAAGAGTTCATCAAAAGGATTGCAATGGACAGACAACTACGATGAATTCGCGCATAGAGATCATTCAAGAGAGGAAGTACATTTGTAGCGAGTGCAGCAGTGCTTTTCATACCAAGTAAGTAGTTTTAATATTTTTTGATCGTAAATAAATACGATGAATATAAGTGATAGATATTGTATTGAAATTTATTGAACATTTACAGTCTGCATACTTAAAACCCGTTAGATTTAAATATATTACGAATATTCTAATTACATAAAAACATATTTGAATTCAACTTTTGATAAATTTTGAAACAAATAATGAAGAAAAAAATAATAATTACTTAATATAAATATAATATAAAAGTGTAAGTAATAGTAGCGTTGATAAGATATAAGTAAATTGTTTTATTTTAACCTTCTTATTTTTTTTATTGTTAAATTATATATTTCATAACTGATATGAATTTTTCTGTAAAATTTCTTCATTAACAAATGCACAAATCTTTCTTAATAAATAGAAATAAATCAACTTTAATGTATATATAAATGAAATATGGAAGTTGATTGTTTAAACAAACATTTCAAAATAATTATTTATACCAAATTTTTGGTAAAATGAATTTTCTCATGTTGAATTTGTTCAATTTTTAAACAGAAATATAATTGACGTATTGTATTTTTGATATTTGAATTATATAATTGATTGAAAATATAATCTACAACTTATAAAATTTTATAATAAATTATAGAAATTTTATTTACTTTTAAAATCTTTAAAAATTCATTCTACATTTTTTTTAAAACTTCAAGAATAAATAATCAAAATAACGATATCTTTATTACATTTGAAAAATTCATCATACAAATTTAAATATACTCAATCTAGAATTATAATTCGTAAGTTATTATACAGTAGAATGAAAAACTTGTTCAAAATTTGGAAAAAATATTGGCATGAAAAAGAAATAATTAAAAATATTATAGAAAATAAATATACAAATAAAAAGAAAATAATTATATGAGAAATCTTAATAGGAATTTTAATAAAAAATTTACCTGGATCAAACTTTAATTAAAAAAACAAATTTGTGTTTTGCGTTTATATTTAATGTTACATTGTCAGACAATGTGTTAATCAAACATATAAATAAACAAATGAGTTTTAAATAAAAAGGAGCAAGACAGAGAGAAATAAAAGGTATATAAAAGACAGTAAATGCCTGTGGACGTGAAATAGTCTCTTTCCTGTAGTAAAAGTATCCTCAGTGCATAACTATGGAATGAAACACCGCAACTGTGTGACTGCAACTGCTTACATGTAAAGAAATAAAATGACCAGTGCTTTCCATTGTAGTTCTTTTTCTCTCTTTCTCGTAAAACAAATTTAGAAGAATTTTTTTTGAAAGCGGTGAAAAAATATAGAATGTAAGACAAAGAATTGAGTTTTAATATGAAAATATGAAGGCACATAAGAAACTTGCTCAAACCGATATAATTTAATTTTGAGAAAATTGACAAGATATGTGTAGAACTTTAGTATTTACGTTAATGAAAGAATCTGTGAAACTTTATTAACTTCCTTGTGAATTTTACGTATATTCCTATTCATTTTGATTCGTTCATTCTAACTGCATTTTTAATTTATTTTTTATTAATGATCTGATTACTTATAAGAATAGTTTTATATCCATGTTCGTATAAAATGTCATGGTTAAAGCGATAATAAATATATATTTAATAATTGGTACATAATTTTCCTTTAATATACAGAAAAACTATATTTGAATTTGTATTAAAATATAAAAGAACGTAAATAATTTTTAGCAAAATTGAATTTACGAATAAAGTAATAAATAAAGTAAAAGTTGTTATATTTTACTATTACTAAGATGTTTGCGTACCCAAATTTTATATTTTAATTTTTTAAAGAATTTTATGTAAAAACTTAACCTTTGTTGCTTGTTATCATTAAAAAATTATAAAGAATGAATTATAAGAATTACTGTTATAAAGTTGCATATCAATTATTTTCATATAGTTAAAAAAATTAAAGCTGACAGTTAAATTTTAACAAGTTTTATGGGTAAGTATAAAAAAAAAATTTATTACGTATGTAAAGATAATCGATAGAGACCTAGATAATGATAGAATAAATAGTAACATATCCAATAACACAAAGAATAATAAACACGCACTCCAAAAATCATTATTAAAATTTAACACATAAATTATAAAAATAGAAAGTATAACTAATACAAAAACAATCAAATACAAAGTAGTAAAATGTAGTTTCAATGCACAATGTTGGAACCATTCTTATAACGATTCTCTAAATAAAGTTTCTCTGAGACGTAAGATTACGTGTCGTTCCAGTAGAAATGAAATAATTTTGGGTTTTAATGCTCGTTTCGCCTACATATTTGCCTCTTACTTTTCCCACAATAGACATTATTTTCGTACGCACATACACGATTCTCTTTATAATAACCTACATACTTAAAAGCTTCAACATAAGTATTAAAGCACAATTGTGCTGACAACCACCTACTATAAAGTATACACTATCCTCTATGCTCTTTCCGTAACGGATTTTTTCTTTATGTATATACACATATATAATATTACTATATATATAACACATATTCTGTTTTACCGTATGTATCCATTTCCTTAAACTTCTAATAAAAGCCATGAATGAAATAAAATTTTTTGATAAATGATAGATGTTAGAGATTTACAGAGGGTTAAATAGTATAGAAAATCATCTCAGAATTGTTAATTTCTATTTATTAATATAATAAGTGTATATAACACTAAATAAAAATAAAATTTATGAAAATTAATGTTTTTATATACATTAAATAATACATATTGATGCTCTATTATCATGAAACTAGTTAAATAATAAGAAATTTAAATTGAAAAAAGTGTAAATCAATTTTTTTATAAATATTTAATTATGCTCATAGATTTGTTACAAATGGCATACACCCATTATCTTATACAATTCAACATGGCTGGTACCTTTCTCTTCAAACTCACCCAATTCTTTCATTAATTCTTTTTTCTATTATATTTAGTTTCGCATACTATTAAAAATTTATTCAATATCGATTTTATTAAAATCCATAACGTTTATCTATTAGAAATCTATTAGTATTCATCGTAATTCTTTCATTACAAGATATAATATCGCAATAACGTTAATAAATATATTATAATAATGTACGTGCAGATCAAGAACCACTATTAAAGGTTTATGTAAAAAATATTATCATGTGATATTCTATAATAATTATATAATGTTTCGGAAACGATAGATACAACATAAATCGATTCGTAAAATTGAATAGTTGAATCTTTCTATTTCCTGTTTTGTTTCATTTTCTGAACCTCTCCAATATCCACGCCGCATGTGATGTGTGTGTGTGTGTGTGTGTGTGTGTGTGTGATATGATGTGTCTGTGTGTATGTGTGTATGTGTGTATGTGTGTGTATTTTATAACAAGTACTGAACAAGTTACATGCCAACTTTTCTAAAAAAGATATTGCGTGTGTGGTAATATGTTTATGTGGCGAGAAGTCACTTGAATAGAGAGCTCTATTTTAGAAATTTTCGGGCGTCGCTGGTGGGCTTCTCTGTTAAGTGGCTTTTTTAATCGTCTGTAATGAAAGGGAATGTGGTATTATATCGTTTATTGAAAACTGCATAGAAACATGCACTGAAAATACACTTACGAGATGTTCGTGTTTGTTTTATTATGCATTATAAGCTACTATAGACATAATTTATCATAGTAAAATTTTGCTTTATATTTGTTTTATAATATGTAATTATTTATATCCATATTGATAGAAAGAATTTTTATAAAAAATTATAAAGTTCAAAAAAACTTCTTCATAATTTATATTACAATTTTTAAAAGTAAAGCAAATATTCGAGTTCGTAAGTCATCTTGGTATTTAAAATTTCATTAAAGTATAGTATGATTATTATATATTTATAATTATTTATATTTGAAAAATACTTGCTATTTTATAAGAAAAACACTATTCATAACCTTGTTTTAAGCTACCTTACTAATTCAAATAACTAATAAAACAGTTAAGTGTATTCGATTCTTTGCAGTATATATAGTTGAAATTTTTTAAAATTAAAAAATTTCATTTTCACATTTATTTATATATATTTTTAATCAATAAATAAACTGTTTCTTACATTTAAGTACTGCTTCAAATAAAAATGAAATAGGTTATTTAAAACTCTTAATTAAACATAAATACAGATACAAATACATTCAGTATTATTGTAAATAAAAATATAATTTTTAATATAAATGAAAATGGTTTAACAAATTAAATACTTCAAACTATAATATAATAATTATTTTTCTTATTATAATTAAAATTGTTTATTTATATGTTTTCATTTATATGTTTATATTTTGCATAATAACCAATTGTTAGTACTTAAATTTTTTTAATTAAATTCATTAATGTTTTATATTACTTTTCTTAATTAATGTTTCATATTGCAAATAATCTTTTGACGAATTACTTTTGATTTCTGACAATTGTATTTCACGAATGCAGTTATCTTGCTTTTAAAATACATTTGCAATTGGTTCATTTTAAACTATAAAATATATATTCTAGAAAAATCTAAATATAGAAATTATAGAATTTTCAAATACTTTATTACTCTCGTTAAATTAAACCTACGTATCTTCAAATATAACAACACTCTTAATTATTAACATCGAACATGGTTAACAAATCTAAACTTTAAAAAGTACGTACAAAAATAAGTAATTAAAAATAATAAAGAACGAAATCGAATGGAAGGAGGAAATCATTTATTCGTTAACAATACAAGCATAACTATACTATAAAGAATCTCATTGTAATAGGAAAAAGAGATAAATTAAATAAGACTCATAACTGCTTGTCCAAAAGAAATCCAAAAAGAAATCTACTTATGAATTTAGATGCTCTTGCGCACTCATCGATTACTTCTCGTCTTAAAATCATTATATAAAACTTCAAAAATATATTGCCATATTGTTCCAATAGATAAATAAAACCTCGTTGATTTTAGAAAGTGAGAAAATATACAAGTTCTTACAACAT